TATATATATATACATATATATATATATCCTTGAATTCTCGTTATGTCTATCGAGTGCATTTTTATTCAGCTTCCATCGGTTTTGCAAATACTTCTGTTGATAATTCTCTTTCCCCGAGACTTTGTTAGACGGTTTAGATTAGCTTCTTGGTACGAGCGACTAAACGCTAACCAAAACTAGTGCACTGGGGTCCAAGTTTGATCACTTTATAAACTGAACTTAGTTAATCTTGACCACTGGCAGTTATAGAACTTAGCTGTTCCCCACATTTAGAAATTACGGTCATGTACCGAATAAATCAGTCCACTTCTTTCACCAAATGCGATCGCCTCATCTGTTTTTTTCGCACATACTTTCCGGTGTTGCGCAACCCTTTTTCATTATCACCTCAGCTGTTACTTAGTTTAGTTTGCTTTGCCACTTTATACAGCTCCATTTGCTACCAACATTCGACAGCACAAGCTATCAGCCACTTCTGGCATAAATCTGACCTTAGGTACGGTACAACTGACTTTTTCGTCTTTTTCCAGGGTCACGACAGTTAAACTTTGAGGAAACAAAATCTTTCGCACATTTGTCGACAAAGAGCACTGAACAGTTGTGTTTTGTTACTTGAGAATCATGAGCAGTACGTATCTATCGACTCAACTCGAACAATGAGCCTGTGGGATGAGAGCAGAAACATTTACCCCTGAGCTACACAGTCCAGGGCCGATATCTTGAACTAGTGACCACATTAATTTATAATGCCATATTTTAACTAGTCCGTTGGATTTCCACAGGCAGTAGGCACTGTATCACGATGAGATTGCACATTGACGTGATGTGATAGCTTGTGCACCTCTGTGACCCAACGGGCTACGCAGGATGGCTTCTGTCGAGCCATAGATCCAATCATGCCTGGAAAGTCAATGGGTAGAGCTCAGACAAAGTTCAGCCTCTTGGTCCTCCAGGTTGGGGGGTTCAACTTGAGCTGGTGTCTCAGTCAGTAAAACGTATTGGAGGAGTATTTGATTCAAGTGAATGGGCCTCCACTCCATCTTAACCGCTGCTTTACGGTTAGGTTCTTGTGAGAACTAAAGGCTTTGGTTGAGAATCCAAATCATTCTTCTGCTTAGTGATCGGACTTCCTGGTAGGACCTGTCCATAAAGCTCCAATAAACACAAACTAAAAATAATTTCATACTGAATCAGTCGTCGCGCAGGAAAATCAGTACCACGCTGTCCATTGCATCGAGCGGGGTGAGTAGTGATTTATGGGTTGCTGCTCAGACATCCCACCCTGTCTAACTCTTTGTCTTCTGTGCCCAACGCTCTCCCTTCGCCCCTTCTTCCGACCCGTAACATCCCATCAGCCAACTTGTTCCTCATTCATCAAAGGTCGTTGCCAAATAGCACCGTAAATAGTTTTCTTGTAAATAAAAGGCAGATTTTGAAGTCTCGTCATCCTCCTAATCTGGGGGGCTTCAAAATGAGGACTCTGATGCTGCTGATTATGATGATGACTGCATCTGACTATCTTTTGCATCCATTCATTCACTCTTTGGGGGATCGTTCATTTCCTCGCAAGTTATATGCATTTATTGGTGACAAATATAGTAGCACGGAGTCCTAAGAATGACGACAGCTGTCGCACACATGCTTACATGGAAAGCACCATGGTTTTAACCGTTGGCAAATGAGCGATTCCCGAGAAGTGAAAACCACAGCCCAATGTCAAGAAAATCGGATATTTAGTGACCGATGCAAGTAACAGTTCAAGTATCTGCAAGGCTCGAGCGGCAAACATAAGATTAAGACACCGGCATTGACACGACATTTCCTTGAAGTTGAAGGATCACGTACACCGCACCACTGTGCGATTTGGATCCACTTTAGGGATGTGATATCCAGAGTTTGCGCTTTGAAGACACTCATCGTTCGAAGGTCTTTGACCATCGAGGTTTACATAGTTCGGCGCAGGCAGAATGGAGCTGGCGCGTGACCAAAACTAAGGGAAGCCATCGTGCATCTCCGTCTGGGTCGGTTGAAAATTTGTTATCGCACCGCATTCAGATCAGTGGGGTTCGCTGGTTAAGGTACATATTGAGCATTTCTAGTTGGTATCTATCGGTCCCCGCCCAATTTGCAACTGCTATTCCACTTGGAGAAAATCATGAAGTCGATAGATGACGTGAAGACGAAGCATCAAAAACTGCAACAATGGGTTAGGTAAAGTGCATGTTCCCCTTTTTTTCCGGTTGGGGTCTGAAGAACCCCATAGTTGGGTGGTTGGCAACACAAGACATGGTAGCAGACCAACAGCAGTGCCGTTCTTGCTGTCACTTCGTATTGTGGCAGAATGCTGGAAACTGAGTGTCTGTAGAGCTAGGATTTGTTGACCGCAATGACTCACTTTGTTTCCTATTTCTCTCCCCCCTCAAAAAACAGATCCACTTTCTGTCTGCTTCAAATATTTGCAGTTACCCTGCATACATTGCGACCTTGGCAACGAGCAGCAAAGTTTGCTTTACGTTTACGACGATAATAGTAAAGAATAACATTTAAAATTTACTTCTGTTTATAATCCTCACCTTGAAACGGATTTACTTGACGCGTTTTACTTAAGCAGACATTGTTTTCCTCAAGTCATTCTTAGACCACCGATCTTACTCTTTTTTAGTACATTTTTCTTAAGTGTAATGAGAAACGTAGTTCTATTCAGTGTTAATCAATGCAATTACCACAAGAAACGAACACGTACCTGCGCTTGGACACATCGGAATTTCTCCAATTGTTTATAAGTATCAGGATCCAATTCCTCGCTCACGTTTTTCATCCACAACAAAGCACCACGGTACTCCGTCCGAGACGTTTCCATGCGTTTTAATGTACTCACTGTATCTGAGATCGCGCGTTGTCTGAATGTTTTTACTTCTTGCTGCAATCGATCTAGTGGAGCACGGAGAAGCAAACTAAACGGGAGGGGAAGAAAAGTTAGACGACCTGTAGACTGGTAACATTGGTCAGAGTTATATGAAAACACTGTTTTACTTAAGTTCTTTACTTCGATTTTACTTAGGTTAGTACGAGCACCGAGCTGAAATTCCTCATATCACCTTACTTCGGCTACTACACACTGTAGGGTGAGCCAGCTGCATGAACATCCCGATCGGCAGCTACGGTGATCCAAAGCTAGACCCTGTGACGGAAAACAATGTCAATCGTTCATGAAGCTTCATGATGGTATGCAACTTGGCAGCCCTCCGGTTCAATACCACGCCTGACCTGGCGGGACATTATGTGGTTCGCCACTTTAAGTCCCGTGGATTAGACCACCGATTTCCTTCAGTAAGAAAACAGCAGGTCTTCACGACTATGAGGTCCACCGCCGTCTGCTGTTCGAGACACAAAATGTGT